AGAATTAAACTGCTATAAGCCTAACTAGACTTCTTCTGTGGAACAAACTTGTTTGTGGAAAAAATTAACAAAAGTAACTATGATAAAACATTGTTTGTGGAAAAATTAAAGTAACTGTGCGTAAAAACATTGTAGAAAATTTAACAGAAGTAACTGATAAAACATTGTGGAGAAATTAACAGAAGTAAATGTGTGTAAAAACATTGTTTGTGGAAAATTAACAAAGTAACTGTGCATAAAAACATTGTGGAGAAATTAACAGAAGTAACTGTGTGTTAAAACATTGTTTGTGGAGAAATTAACAAAAGTAACTGTGTGTTAAAACATTGTTTGTGGAGAAATTAACAAAAGTAACTGTGTGATAAAATCTTAATATTTTTATATAAAATACTCTGTTTCTGTCTGAACCTGCTCTGTGGAAGAATAGTGGCCTGATGTTATTAATTGACATGTAGAATCTAATATTTTTGTTGTATTGATCACTTTCAACTTAATTCTCTGTTTCACTTTATAATTCTGTGTAGATATAAAATTGTACATGAATCCATTTATTGTTGAATTAAGTAAACTATATGTTTGATGTTGCTTCTAAACTGTAAGATTGTAGTTTATGCATAAAGCTAGGTGACTAGAATAACTTACCAATCAGTTGTTGGGCTCATTAATAAACTACAATCAGCCAGCCAATTATTATCCTGAAGTGTCTAGAAATAACATTACTCTCATGCAAGTTGGCAAATAAAAGTAATGCTACAGATCAGGTTAATATATTTAACCATTCAGTTCTACTTTTGTAAATTGTGGGATAATTTTTTTCTAATAACTTTTAAGGTACTAAATGTTTTGGTTCTAGTATTGTAAAAACATTCTAACACAAGTGGCCTGAATGCCACTAAACATTTAAAATTTAACAACATAGAATCAGTCATTTATTACATGCATGATTTATTAAAAAAATAAATGATTACATTGCAGTGTGAAAGTCCCTGTAGACATTTTCACTGAACAAACAAGATCATTTCTACTGATGTCTAAAATGTTTTATGAAGTAGCCTTTATAGGCCTAATACTACTTAATGGAGTTATTGTGAAAACACATTTAAAAAAAATAGACAAATACTGTTATATTCTTAAGAACTTTTCACTGACACACACTGTCTCACAACTCTCTTTGAACTAGGAAACACTATTTTTTTACACCATGAAAAATACTTTTTAACTAACTTTCTTATCTCTGTGATTTTTTGAAGTTTGTAGAAAACTCACAAATGTGTGTAGGAATGAACTTTATTAGGTTATTGTGTTAGGTACTACTGTTGTTTGGAAAATGTTACTGTGTGATGATAATTTTACCATCGTGGTGCAGTAGTAATCAGATTAAGTTCAACCATTGCTAAAAACAAAGTTTGCATTCTGCGCTATCAAATTTTCAGTAATGCAAGTTTTTGTTATCATTGAAATATCGTGGCACAGCTAAGTTTGATATATATGTATGGACAAGTTTTTTGTTATTGTTACAGTTAAATAGCTACCTAACAGTAACGTGTGAACATGAACAATCTTAGCTACCTAACACTAACATGTGAACATGAACAATCTATGATTTAGAGTGGTATATTTGTGTGTAACTGGTAAACTTGTACTGGCTATTTATAGATTTTCAGGCTGTAAGCTGGTCAAATTTTAAAAGACTGATTGTAGAATATGGAATCAACAATATAGAGATATTTAATACATGTATTACCAGTTTTATGCAGAATGCTTTGTTTTTATAACTTGTCTCCATGTTACATTCTTGTGAACCAGGATTACCAGCTGAAATAGCATAAATATTTTAATTATTTCACCAAGTTGCTACCTTACACCCGGTGTATCATTTCTTCCTATACATCTGTTTATTAGTTCAGTGTAGTTTAGTTTATAAAAGCTGTAGTTTATCTCTAACTTGTCTTTTTTTTTTAGTATGAAATAGCTTTCTTATTGAAATAAACTTATTTTACCATTTCTTCCAGATTTGTGCATTTACTCAGTAATACCAGTAATCTTCTACATTTCTCAGTCCAGAAGTTCATTTATGTAGAAATTTAACAATCCAGAAATTCTCTGCTTTTACTCCAAGAAAGTTTCTAAATGGGGAGTTCCATGCCAGGGTGACATGACACCTTAAAAATAAATTTTAGTTATTGTAATATCTCAATATTTTATTGGCATTATGCGAAATATGATGCAGTCAACTTAATACAATAGATATATGCTTTGAAATTAAGTTTACTTAAACAGTTTAAAGTGTAAACGGTGTGCATTTTTGATAACTTCAAACGTTTACTTTATTCTATTGGTGTAAAATTCCAAATATATTGTTCATGTATGCTGTTTGTTCTCGATATAATTGTTGTGAATTGCACCACTTTTGCCCGGGAATCACAAAACCCTCACGTGCTCAGTTTGCTAGAACATTTGAGAAGTTCCACGACTGAGCATAAAACGAGTGGAGTCAGATGCCCCTCTCTCTGTTGCCTCTCACTCGGTCGGTCACTTCGCCTCGCTTCGCACACAGTCAAAACAAAGTCTGATTTTATTCCTCTCATATATAATCAAGTTCTGCAAAACTCTGTTTTTTAAAATCTTTTAAACTGTAGTTCTGTAAACATAAATTATTTCATATTTTTTAGAAAATCATTTGAAATGCTGGCAGCTTCCAGTTCAAGTAAAGTCAGAAAGTGCAAAAATCACTTAAACAGTTTCTGCTACATTTGTATAAAATATATTACAATTTTACAAAGAAAAACATTAGGCTCCACATGTGTTTTGTAGTTTGCACATCTGGCTTGATACGGTAGCTGAATAAAAAGAGAGCAAGTATATCATTTACAGTTTCCATGATATGGCATGATCTTCCAGTGCCACATCCACCAGTGAACTGGGAAACAGAAGAGTTATCCTGAAAAGAAGACAATGAATCATCTTCATCTAGTAATTCTATTCTTGTGGCACCTCAATATAAACTGCCTCATCTGATCACACAAGAAGAGCTAAATGATCTGATTCGTAACTTGTCTCTATCAAAGCAGCAAGGGGAACTTCTTGACTCTTGTTTACAGAAATGGAATTTATTAACTCCAGGAACTAAAGTTTCAATTTACAGAAGTCACCATCAAAATCTTGCTTCTTATAACATGCAAAATTTTTTTGTTTCTGCACAAATGTTGATACATTAATGGAAGAATTAGGTACTGAACATCATCCTCAAGAATGGAGACTTTTTATCGACTCATCTAAAGTTAGTCTGAAAGCTGTACTTTTGCACAATGGGAACACTAAGCCATCGATTCCTCTTGCTAATACTGTGGACATGAAAGAAACTTATCAAAGCATACAAATTATACTTGAGGCCATCATACTGGAACATATGTATGTAGTGATCTGAAAGTTATTGCACTCCTGCTAGGCCTACAGATTGGGTATACCAAACGCTGTTGCTTTTTGTGTCTCTGGAACATCCGAGATGATAAAAATCATTTAAAAAAGGAATGGCCAGTGAGAGGGAATTACATACAAGGGAAACAGAATATTGTGTATCAACTTTTAGTGAATCCTCAAAATGTGTTTCTTACCCACTTCATATTAAATGAATGAACAAATATGGTAATGGTTTCAGATATCTGTCTGATAAGTTTCCAGAAATCAGTGAAGCAAAAATGAAAGGAGGTATGTTTGTTGGCTACACATTCTGGAACAACTGATGGATGATGATTTTGAAACAGTACTCAATCAGGAAGAACTTGCTGCCTGGAGATCATTCAAACTGGTTGTCAAAACTTTCTTAGGAAATCACAGAGATGAAAACTATGTTGTGTTGGTTGATGGTATGCTGGTCTAGGAATTCACTAAAGATGTACTTCTTACACTCCCACTTAGACATATTTTTATATGATCTAGGTGTAGTGAGCGATGAGCATGGTGAGCTCTTCCACCAAGATATTTCTACAATGGAACAGCAATATCAAGGACAATAGAATCATGTGTTGATGGAAGATTACTGTTGGTTCTTACAGTGTGAAAATGAAAACATATACAAATGGTACAGCAAGTCAAGCAGAAATTTTTAATAAATAATAACAGTTTGGAACACAGCCTGAATGTAGTTTCACTATATAATCTTACTATACTCATTGCTGTCTTAAACTGCTATTATGTATTATTTTTAAACATTCTTTAATAAAATCTTTAATGAATAAAGTTATTTTCATGATATATAAGAGCATTTTTAATAAATCTGTCAACTCTAAGACTAGAGATGGTCAGTAATTTTCAACATGATTTCTAGAATTAGAATCACCAAATTATTCAGAAACAGTTGTATTTTTATCTAGTACCAGAGAAAACTTTTTTTTTTGTTGCCTGGTGTCATTAGATCTGCAACTGTTAAGTGAATATTGAGATGTCTTCCTCTTGACAGTAATACTTTACATAAAATGGAAACTTTTATGTTATTAGGACTCTTTTCTCACTTCAGTGGAAGACAAAACATTTAATAACATTTTGTTTCCACTTGGTTAGAGGATGGAGAAATTTTTTGTTGTTATGATTGAACTGTCGTACTCTACATGTACTTGGCTGAATGGAGAATCGAGTTGATTTTTTTGAAATGTTTTTATTCAACTTTATTAAGAACTGTTTAGTGTAAACTTAAATAACTATAAATTGTTCATTAACGTAGTAGGTGAACTTATTTCAATATCACTCCTGTTTTTTTGGCAAAACCATTATTTATAAAACTTTGAGTCTGATCCCAAAACTGAGAATAACATGTATTTCTGATTGCTACAGGTGTTGCTGTATGTATGGTGTGTTGTCAAGTTTGTAAGTTTATTAGGAGTTTGGTAGAATATATGAGTATCAAGATTAAAGAAATAGTAATTGGTTTTTATAATACAGTACAGTGGTCATTGAATTGTTTGATGGATTCATTTCAACAACAACATTTTATTTCTTATTAGTGGAGGAAAGAGTTATTAATGAAGAATATAAAATCTGGAAGAAGAATACGCCATTTCTTTATGATCTAGTAATGACCCATGCCTTAGAATGGCCAAGTCTGACTGCTCAGTGGCTTCCAGATGTGACAAGGTAATCAGATGAAATCACTCCTTAAAGTATTCTTGTATTTGTCGTAAAGTTCAGATGAACGGTATGTGCAATGAAAATATTATAGATATTGGTCTACTGTCGAAAGCATAGAAAATTTAAAACAGATGATTAATATGGTATTTTTTATTGTTTAACTTTACATTGATGAATGATACAAAACATTAGATAAATAAAGAAAATAAAAAGGGTAAGGAAGATATTGTGCCTTTAAAGTGTTAGTAAATTTCTCAAATTGTAGTGGTTTCGTTAAAAACGTTTTTACTAGAAAGGTGTTATTTAAGTACTCGAACGACATATTTTAGAACTGTACAGGTGTTTTGATTCTCGTTTTGCTTATTGTTAATTTGATATTTCTTTATGAATAGGCCAGAAGGAAAAGATTACTCGATTCACAGGCTTATCCTTGGAACACATACGTAAGTGTCAAGTGTTGAAACTTGTTGGTCATTGAATTAAAATCTAGTTTAATAAAAAAAAAAAATACTTTTAAATAAGTAACATTAAGATTTTAGATTTCCAAATCAAGTAAAAGACTTATTTACACAGTTAATTGTACAAGTGACTGTTTTTCATCTTATTTAAGTCATTGTTCTTTGCAAACAAAATCTTTTCTTTTTCTGAGATTTTTGTCGTACATTTGATGACAATGAATGTATATTATACTGTTTACAAATACCCACGTCAGAAGATAAGTAAAATAGCCAATGTAAAAGGGAAAAATTCAGTTTCTATTGTTTTTGAGCACATTTTATAATAGATAACTATGAATAAATTACTCTTGAAGTTTAATAATTAATGTCAGATCTAAAAGATAATATAGTATGCATTTTTTAACAGTTTATACAGACTTAAAAATAGTGTAATATACATAGCTCTATTTTAACAGTTAATTTAACAGGTTAATATTAGCCAGTAATGTTGAGTAAGTCTCATCTTTTTTAAAAGTTTGTTACTAAATGTTACCATGTTAAAATGAACAGTAAACTGGTGTGATTTATTTGTGATAGTAGTGTAGGACAACGATCAACACAGACTTTCTTTAGATAGTGTGAAAACAGTTATGTCATGTACGTTATTACGGAAGATGTGTTTCAGCGTAGTTTTTAGTATTCTTTACTTTTCATTTTAGTTACACTAAATGTGTTTGTTTTTATGTAGGAATTTTCTGTCTTTTGTTTTATTATTAACAGTTTTGTTAGCCGTCACAATTGAGTTACTGTGGTGTTTGTTTTATGTACAATTAATTGTTAATGTTAACAAACTGAAAGTAAGTAACAGAGTTGTTTCAAAAGACCGGTTGTTGTCTGTAATTATCATTCTGTAATAAATAAAGGCATTTTTGTACATATTTTCTGTGAACAATTAAGTAACTTAAAAATTGTATGTAGTTCAACTTCTATTAATAGATCAGATGAACAAAACCACCTACTGATAGCTAGTGTACAACTACCGAGTGAAGATGCCCAGTTTGATGCTTCCCATTACGACAGTGAAAAGGGAGGTACGTAACTATAACACAGGTGTAATTAACAAAGATGAAACAGTGAAAAGGGATGTATGTAACTATAACACAGGTGTAATTAACAAAGGTGAAACAGTGAAAAGGGTGGTACGTTACTATAACACGTGTAATTAATAAAGATGAAAAAACTTCGATTAGGGTTAGTGGCTACTATAACACAGGTGTAATTAACAAAGATGAAAAACATCGATTAGGGTTAGTGGCTACTATAACATAGGTGTAATTAACAAAGGTGAAACAGTGAAAAAGGTGGTACATTACTATAACACGTGTAATTAATAAAGATGAAAAAACGTCGATTAGGGTTAGTGGCTACTATAACATAGGTGTAATTAACAAAGGTGAAACAGTGAAAGGGGGTACGTTACTATAACACGTGTAATTAATAAAGATGAAAAAACGTCGATTAGGGTTAGTGGCTACTATAACATAGGTGTAATTAACAAAGGTAAAACAGTGAAAGGGGTATGTTACTATAACACAGGTGTAATTAACAAAGATGAAAAAATGTCGATTAGGGTTAGTGGGTACTATAACACGTGTAATTAACAAAGATGAAAAAACGTCGATTAGGGTTAGTGGCTACTATAACATAGGTGTAATTAACAAAGGTGAAACAGTGAAAAGGGGGGTATGTTACTATAACACAGGTGTAATTAACAAAGATGAAAAAACGTCGATTAGGGTTAGTGGCTACTATAACATAGGTGTAATTAACAAAGATTAAACAGTGAAAAGGGGGGGTATGTTACTATAACACAGGTGTAATTAACAAAGATGAAAAAACATCGATTAGGGTTAGTGTTTCTGCTTCTCTCACAATTTTTGTTATTTTTTATCTCAATAGACAACATAGAATGAACCTTTCCAGCAAAACTTGAAACCCCACAAATCTAACAAATAAAATTACCGAAAGTGGAGCAAAGGAGGATAACAGTATCCCTGCCCACCCCAATTGAGGGAAATTTCGTTCCTTTAAAAATTAAATTCCTGTCACTAAATTGTTCATTTTTGTTGTTGTTGTTTTCCTGTTAGTGTCATAATTTTAATTTCAAGATAAACTTTTCATATTAAACTATGATTATAGATAAGTCCAACCTCGCATAGCGATGTTACTGCAAACACAAACTTTTAGTACGTTACATAGTTCAATACTATAATTTTTAAACCAAAGACTGAAAGACTAATTTATTGTTATATCCTACTAATATTCACTGTTAACCATTTATTATGTAACCAATTAGTACTGGAAACATTTAAGAAAAATAGGGCTTTTAACATTAAAAAAAAAATGCCAACACACAAAATTGGGTGAAATGCTAAAGTTTAAATTTGTATGAAAACACAGGTTGAATGTGACAAATGCATAGAAAGGTTAAGTGTGTTCGTGGCTGATGGATTTGATCTTGATAATAAAAGATTACAAATCACAGTTAAAACAAAAACTAATTTAGAGTATGTCAGCTTGAAATATCCCATTTTATCCTCATTGTGATTAAGATGTACCTGTTTTACACATGTGAATATCCTTCAAATACTAGAAACTACAATGATTGTCGTTTGTGTTTTCTTGATTGCTAAGTACTAGGTTATTTTTACAGTTTTACATAATTTAGTTTTCTTTCTTTCTTAAATTAAAATTTTTAATAAGTTGTATTTATAAAAAAAAAGTTTTTTTGTTGTTTTAGAGTTTGGAGGTTTTGGCTCGGTGAGTGGAAAGATTGAGATAGAGATCAAAATAAACCATGAAGGTGAAGTCAATAGAGCACGTTTCATGCCTCAAAACCCCTGCATCATTGCTACTAAAACGCCATCTAGTGATGTTCTGGTATTTGATTACACAAAACATCCTTCAAAACCAGGTAAATTTACATAATTCAAACATCCGTAGAAAAATGTTTGTTGCCCAAAGTTGAATATACTTAGACATAGTATGGATTTACTTGGTAGAACCCAGCAAATCTATTGTGTTGACTTTAAAAAAAACAGTCTCATTTTAAGCTGTAAGTTTTTAACTAGTAAATTTAGAATGTTTAGGAAGTAAAATCCAAAAAGGCAAGTAAAAAATTATTTTAAACCTTCTGTTTCTTACCAGGGTGATACGAAAAACTATACACTATTTGAAGCTTGAATAATTTGTTGAACTATAACTAGACATGTTCAGAACTTAAGAGTTTTTACATATTTTGTACTTAAAGATGTATACTATTTATACCTGTAAGGCTTAAGTTAAAACAAACGTTTGTTGTTCTTGCAGATCCCAATGGTAAATGTAATCCAGACCTACGTCTCAGAGGTCATCAGAAAGAAGGGTAATGTATTCATGATAGTGACCCCTCTTACAATTAAAATTGAAGAATTGGTTGTTTTTAACACTCAACTTCCAATATATATGCTATATCCTTCTTTGACAGAAACTGACTGTTATAGCAAAAATAATTAATTGTAAGATATATGTATCTAACCTTAATAAATATTTTTGATTATTAGAAAACATAGGAGTTATAGATTTAAGTCCCACAACTCTTGGTTAAAGAAGCATATGAGGCTTAACTAAACCAATTACAAAGAAAAAAATATTTGAGATTTTTTAATTTAACCTGAAATACGATAAATTCTGTATGTAAACTTAAATAGTTACTCCGTTGTACAGAACACATTTGTTTGGTACAACAGAGTAACTATTAATGTAGTTTTATTTAAAGCTTTGCCTCATTCCAAATGTGTTCTGTACAACGGAGTAACTATTAATGTAGTTTTATTTAAAGCTTTGCCTCATTCCAAATGTGTTCTGTACAACGGAGTAACTATTAATGTAGTTTTACTTAAAGCTTTGCCTTATTTCAAATGTTCTATACAACAGAGTAACTATTAATGTAGTTTTATTTAAAGCTTTGCCTCATTTCAAATGTTCTATACAACAGAGTAACTATTAATGTAGTTTTATTTAAAGCTTAGCCTCATTTCAAATGTTCTATACAACAGAGTAACTATTAATGTAGTTTTATTTAAAGCTTTGCCTCATTTCAAATGTTCTATACAACAGAGTAACTATTAATGTAGTTTTATTTAAAGCTTTGCCTCATTTCAAATGTTACTCTGTTGTACAGAACATATTTGAAATAAGGCAAAGCTTTAAATAAAACTACATTAATAGTTACTCTGTTGTATAGAACATTTGAAATGAGAACACATTTAAAAAGCTGATGTTGCTATATTAAAGTTGGCAACTTAAACTCCACAAAAACAAAACAAATTTTTACAAAACTCCATAAATGTAGTACACTTATCAATCAGCTCTGAATTGTAATACTTCCAAAGTAGGTTTACAAGATGTGCTTTCTAATTCTTGCAATAAACTCATACTTAGAATTCCAGACTTGGCAAGTTGATGCAACATTGGTAATGATAGTATTTCAGATGTCTATTTCATGCTGAAAAGTTTTCATGATAACATTTTCTGTACTGTAACAACACTCCTTTTATTTATTTTTTCTCCTGATTTTTATAATGAATCAAATAGTAATATGTTGTACAAATATTGTGTTCAGTCAGTTGCATTGTCCACCGGTATCTTAAGGGACATTCAGTGATGTTTTAGAGATTGCTAAATAAGTCATATCTTGAAATGTTAAAGATATTTTGAAAATCTTTTGGGATTTTAAAAGGGGGGAAATTGTGTCTGTGAGTCATTTAAAATTAATGATTTTAATTCACGCATTTCTTAACTGTAAAATTCTTTTTACTTAGTACTTGAGAAGTTGATCGTAATGTTAACGTATTCCACTTGCTTTATTTTACAAGTTCACAACGAACAACATCCAAGTATATTTTTCACTCGTACTTTAAAATGTTGTAGAAGTAAAGAAAGTTAAAATACCTTCTTACTGTTAACTTTGTTTAACTGGAATTTATTACGAGACATTTCTATAAATGTAAATAAAATCACGACCTATGTCTCCAGAATTTAACTTTATTAGCCCAATATTTCGCTATTACAGCTTCGTCAGGAGCTCTTGATGTCCTACAAATTCCCTAATCCAGTTAACTCTAAATTGGAACACTGTCGTTCGAAACGTGTATTGGTGTACAATTTATGAATGACAGTGTTCTAATTTAGATTTAACTGGATTAGGGAACTTGTAGGACATCGTTAGCTCCTGACGAAGCTGTAATAGCAAAATATTGAGCTAATAAATTAACATTCTGGAGATATAGGTTGTGATTTTATTTACTTTTTTTTATAAAGTTAGATTTTTGTGCCCATTATATAAAATATCTTTATGTAATTAACAAAGGGGAAGCTGTTGTTATTGATAGACACATTAGACATTTTAATCTCCTTTCCAGTTCCTAAAAATGTTCCCATAAATTATTGGTCTCTTTAAACCAAAATGAATATGTAGTCAGCATTGAATATCTGATTATTTGATAAAAATACACCAGTTTAACAAGTAAACCTATTTACTTAGCTATGGACTTTCATGGAATGCTAACCTGAATCTCACATGATCGTCTGATGCACTAAGTAGATGACCTAGTTAGTGTTTTTCTGTTAGTTTAACAAGTACACTTATTTACTTAACTATGGACTTTCATGGAATGCTAACCTGAGCAGTCATCTACTTAGTGCATCAGAAGATCATGTGAGTAGTTAGTGTTTTTCTGTTAGTTTAACAAGTAAACCTATTTACTTAGCTATGGACTTTCATGGAATGCTAACCTGAGCAGTCATCTACTTAGTGCATCAGACGATCATGTGAGTAGTTAGTGTTTTTCTGTTAGTTTAACAAGTAAATCTATTTACATAGCTATGGACTTTCATGGAATGTTAACCTGAATGGTCATCTACTTAGTGCATCAGACGATCATGTGAGTAGTTAGTGTTTTTCTGTTAGTTTAACAAGTAAACCTATTTACTTAGCTATGGACTTTCATGGAATGCTAACTTGAATGGTCATCTACTTAGTGCATCAGACGATCATGTGAGTAGTTAGTGTTTTTCTGTTAGTTTAACAAGTAAACCTGTTTACATAGCTATGGACTTTCATGGAATGCTAACCTGAGCAGTCATATACTTAGTGCATCAGACGATCATGTGAGTAGTTAGTGTTTTTACGTTAGTTTAACAAGTAAACCTATTTACATAGCTATGGACTTTCATGGAATGCTAACCTGAATGGTCATCTACTTAGTGCATCAGACGATCATGTGAGTAGTTAGTGTTTTTCTGTTATGCTCGGTAGAAAAGTTTTTATAAAGTTTACTTAAAAATTTAGTTTTGTAGCTGTTCCTATGAGTAACAGGAACATAATTTTACTCTCGGAGGTGTTTATCCACCATTTGATGACTTACTTAAAAAAGTTAGTATTGGTAAATGAACTTTAAAGCTTGACCTAAGACCTTGTATATTTTATGAAATAGACACTGTCAATAACTACCGTTAAAGTGTCACAGAGAAACAAATATTCATAAATAAGAAATCTGAAACAGTAGTTTTATGACAACATTGGGTAAATAAATACTAAAAATCTGTGATGTGGGAATCATTTGTACAACATTGAAAGAAAAAGATAACTTGTGAATATTAGGGCTGAAAATTAATTCATTGTTAACCTGCCAATTTGTTTTAGTAATGTTAAATGTTTAATACAGCTTTTTTCTTTATTTTCAGACAATCTGTTTGTGGGATATCAATTCAACTCCAAAAGAAAACATAGTTGATGCAAAAACTATATTCACAGGACACACGGCCGTTGTTGAGGTGAGTTGACTTAACTCTTACAACACGGGGTCAGTCAATGTGACAACCTCGTAACCATCTTGTGCTTGTTATAGTTTTTATGCTATAACTTTTAAATTAGTAAGCAAACGTTAACGAAATTTGGCAGATTATCAGTAAACATTACAATGCTTTCATATGAAAAATATCAAATTTTTTTTATTAAATCATAAGGTTTGTAAAGCAGTGTTTCTCTCGTGGCTTTTTTTTTTTTTTTTACATATCTTGCCAATCTATCATGCAAGGTAATTTTCATTTTGCGATTAAAAAATACTTTATGCTTCACAAACTTGAAATTTCACATGCAAAATCTTTATAATGTCCGGATAGTTA